GTGTGTGTATGTGTGTGTGTGTGTGGAGAGAGGTAGTGTAAAATAAATATATTTATTAGCAGAAATGGAATAAAAAACAGTAAATCTACATCGTCTTCCAAAATAATTCAGTATCGTTATAACTTAAAGTTTTAAGCCATTCAACTGTTAAATACTTGACGCTATAGAAAGGGAGATCCAAAATTGATTTTATTTTATTTACTTTATTATAAAGAAAGGATCCCAAAAAGTTAAGGAATTTTTGACCGAAACAGTGTTTGGTTAAAAATGATGAACAAACAGTAAAATTCCTACGTTTAGTTAATGTGTTGCTTAAGGATCACCTGTAATATAAAAAGCTGTCTAGTAGATAATATTAGCTGAAGCACTTGTCCCAGCAGCGCCAACTATAAACGAGAAGCGAGTAGACAAACGAGTTAGCGAGCAGCGGAAAGAGTCGATAGTTATATCGCTGTACTATAAGAGAGTGGACGAGTACGATAGCCATTTACTCGCGCCACTGATCGCTGAGTCAGTATCATTGAACGAGTATCATCTTTGATAGCTCTTGTCGCTCAGCTAAAAACTAGTGGTGAGAGTTCTTGTCGGCAATGTGAACAGTCAATGATCAAATATATACATGCATCTCTTTTGTTAGCCGATAGTTAGACGCTATCTCGCTGGCGGTGGAACAACTACCAGTTGATGATTAGGATGAAGATAGAAGACGAGAATTGAAATCTCATGTACACACGTTATAATTTGATTAAAGAGGGTATCATGAATTGATTCTGTCATGATACTTGGTTCAAGAGAAGTTCGCCAACATTTTCAGGAAGAATCTAAAATTTTACGTGGAAATGGTAAAAGTTTGGCCATTAAGTGTTTAATTAAACATAACTTAATTAAAGTAATGTTGAATTCTAGCGACGATACACACAAAGATGATACGAGCACTGAGGTGGTTGTCCGATAGTATACTCTTATATCTTCAAATATATACATCCGTTCTAAATTTAACATATCATATCTGGAAGATAATAATTATATTAAGTTGGATATCTCCAACTTAGAACGAACATAATATTGTAGATTTTAATACTAATTTGTTTGTTAAAATATGAATGATATTATATTATTCCGTTAGTTTTTATCATATTTTATTAGGTGTCCAAAAGCGAATATATCAGGACATTTTAGTGTAAATAAAAATCTTCAAATTTAATAGCACTCAGGCAGATTGCAGGTCACCAATTGCCGCATCATTTATCTAAGCAATTCGAATCCACTTACTCTTGGAACTGTTCAAAAAAGAACTTATTAGATTTTGAACAACAAATACAAAACTAACAAAAATCAAAATCAAAGATTATTTATTCAGTTTAGGCTATTACAAGCACTTGTGAAAGTCGAGAAGCTACGAAATCGGTTCGCAAAACTTCGGCGGGAAACCTAGTACGAATTGTAATACTCGAGAACATGTATGTTATATATTTATGCTTATCACATACTTATGTCTCTATTGGGATTCAAACGCAGGACCTATTTAGAGCAGAAGGTAGAAGCCCTAACGATACACCAACCAAATGCAAACATTACATTTTCCCTACCTTCCCTCTGTCAGTCTCATTTGGTAAACATCTTTAAACAGTAACCGGTCCATCCAGATAGTAAGTACAACATCTCTTCCTTTTGTCTTTGAGTCCTCTTCGAGCCTCTCCGGTTATTTCAAATTTTATTTTAAATCAAATAATTTATTGCTCTCTTATAATTTATGCATTGAAGTTACGCCTGCGCCCAAGAGATGTCGCAAGACTGTCGCAAACGGTCATCTTTCATCTCTTCGTCCTGTTCGTCTAAATCAAATTTTATTCCTTATAATTATTATGCATTAATTGACTCACGCCCGCGTCCAAGAGGCGTCACTCGATCGTCGCTAATGTGAAGTGACAACGATCATTTGCTCAAGCAGTTCCGATTCGCGCATTCTAATTTACCTGCCACTCCGGTGCTAGGGTGTCATTCATCTGTCGCCGTGTACCGGTTGTGTCAGTGAAAGGCTGTGTAAACATCATCATATCATCACTGGGAAAAACAAATTTTATATTATGCATAATATTTTTATCTTGACCTGCTGCGGTAAAATGTTTACTGCACGCTGTTGTTCTAACATTTTTATTACAGTTTTGTTATTATATTTAGCATCAGTGGTAATTTATTTAGCCTTTTATTACAAAAGTAACAATACTACAGACCCTTCTTTCTATATCAATTTTATAGAATTTTTATTATCACGAAACCTCGATGTAAGAGTACTTACAAATGGTCTCGAATACATACGGATAGTCGCGTATCATACGACTGTCAGTACTCCATTATAGGTACTGATAACAATAAACAATTTCACAATTTGTCTTGTAATCTAAACAGGTAGAAATCGCCGCGTAACAAATGATGTGGCTCATGAAAAGGTTCCGTTTTATATCGAAGACTTTTAATAGGTATTACTGGCCGAAGTGACTGATAAACAAAGGTCTGTCCATTAAACCGTTTAGATTTGAAACAGGAGTTACTGATGCGTTGTACGGATTACCAACAATTACATTACAGGTAACAACAGATAGTTGATGAAATAATTTGTTTGTTTAAACAGTCGCAAATTTCTCGCATTTTCTAGTTCAAGTAGTTTTTTCAGTTGTAACTTTTTTTTATAGGTAGGTCCGACAAATGACTCCACCCCACCTGATGTTAGGTGACGGTGAATTTCAGACGTGAAGATAGCTGATACAGCAGTTCTACCTGCCACACCAGCCATCCTCACCTTTCCGGCCTGCATGTTGCTTCTGTAATCAATATCCACGATGCAAAAATATCGGAACGATTTTCATGTTTTTTTTTAATGTTGAAAGGGTAGCAAATAAATTATGGATCGAATGATAAATAGTTAGTGGTAAGCGGCCACCAAAGCCTATAGACAGTTGCGATACCAAAAATATCACTCACACCATTGCCTACCCTGGCCCCATCTCCTACCCCGTGGAACCCTACATGTTATTTTCAATACTAATTGCCGCTGGAAGATTGATTTTGTTTCCAAGACTTTAAAGCGATTGGATTGAACTACAAAACTATTTCCATACTGGCCCGGTTTCTTCATCATTCTATCATTGTATACACAAAATTGATTAGCAATGCCCTGTCATCAATTAACCGCATCTACTCGTACTTCCCAAATGTGATTCGCACATTACGGCGACCGGTCGTATCAGCTTTCTTTACCATTATTTTTTAATGTCAATCCCACAAAACCTATCGCTTGTACTCTTATACCATGACCAGTACTAAAGGGCCTTCACGCTTTTAGGTACTTCAACTAGTTTCTTTTACGTAATGGACCTAATGCATTGGTCATCGGCCCATGAATATTTATTACGTGAAAGTTGCTCTATGTCATTGTCTAACTTTTCACGAATGGTTTTTCTTATAAAATCGATATTTTATTTGTCAACTCTTCCGTTTCAAAAGGGCTTTGCATTTTTATGTGAATTTATCTTAAAACTAATTTCTCTTTGATAGCAAATCTCATCATTAATTTATCTCATCATTACTATTTAAAGGCTAGGCTTTTTTCAATGATAGTGCTTTCAGTTTTCACTTGTAATAACATAATATGGAATATATTGTTTTAAACATTCATGGTCACTAACATTATAGTAATATAAGTTATTTACGGGATTGTTACCATATACGTTTTAGCGAGTTTCCGATATTTCGGCACTGTTGCAAGCTCCATGATTACGGAGTAAAAACAAGGTACATGGTAACAATCCCGCAAATAACTTATATTACTATAATATGGAATAGCCTCAACCAATACGTTGGTTTATTCGTCCTTGAAATTATTTCGTATTAGTTAGATACTAGCAAACCAGTGAACCAAATGTTCACCAAAACCTGATTTCTCGAAAACCGGAAGTGCTACGTTACTCAAATCCGGTTTGTATTATTATCAGACTATTCTTAACTTATAACTTAAATATTCTCTTTATCTATCTCTTACGGTTTGGCCGCTGAAACAGCACCAAAGACAGACGGACGGACATGTCTGATAGATAAGAGATTCCAATAAGTATCCTACTGTCTTCTTCTATCCTACTATAAGAAAGATCTTATTCTGTTCACTTGACTACTTTTCTAAGAAGAATTCTCTTTTCTTTCACTATAGATCCTTACCTTGTACTTTCCGTTGGTTGTTCTTCCATTTAAATAATTTTCTTTATTTGCTTTCATGTATTAACATCTTAAATATTTTATTTAATCCTATTGGTGTATTTTATTATTATAAATTTAAGATGAGTAAAGTTATTTCTTTCCAATAAACGGAATTACTTTTAAGATGCATTTACCGCTATTTTTTTCGATAAATATTGAATTGTTTTAATCTTTGTATAAAATTATCATAATCTTCTAATTTAAAGCTCTACAAGAATAACAACATAATATTATTATTTGATTTACAAATTTTTAATACTGTTTGTTGCCGTTCGATTTGCATGAATTTACATAGATTCAATAATTCAGCATTAAATTATTAATAATTTCATTAATATTTATTGTATCTTTTAGAAGTACCTACATAAACTGATCATTTTAGGATTTAACGTGAATAATTTTAAAATGAATATATTCTTATAGATTCTGTGGTACAGATGAAATTAAGAAAAAACGGCAAGCCTATAGATTAAAATTAATTGGTCTTGGCCAAATTTATACAAATATTTAGATACATAACAGGATGAGAAAAAAGTTTGTAGACTATACTTGGTCTAAAGATATTTTTACAACAAAAAATCGTACTAGAATTGCGTCCTCCCAGTGCAAGATTTTTCTTGTTTTTTTTGAGTGGATGTTTTTTTAGTAGAAAGTTTCTTTAGATTCATAAATCTATATGTTGAATACCTAAAATAATACTAAAATTAACCATGATTTGTGTATTAAATGTTTTGTTTTGTTTGTTACAGAGATCGAGGCGGCGGAGGCTTGCAAATGGCTGAGAGCCGCGGGTTTCCCTCAATACGCACAGATGTACGAAGGTAAGAATAGACAATCTAAGCTGAAACCTACGCTTTGACCATTCATCTTATGATTAACCTTTTTGAATGCATTAAATCTCATTAGACACACATTTTTACACCATAATTGTCCCAATCTATCTATACATATATATAAAACTCAAAGGTGACGGACTGACATAGTGATCTATCAACGCACAGCCCAAACCACTAGACGGATCGGGCTGAAATTTGGCATGCAGGTAGAGGTTATGACGTAGGCATCCGATAAGAAAGGATTTTGATCAATTCTACCCCCAACGGGATAAAATAGGGAATGGTAGTTTGTATGAAACTTTGTCGATTTTAAACCGATCGGGCTGAGACTTTGTATGCAGGTATAAGAAGAATCATAGATGAATGCCATTGTGTATAATACAAGCCTGAGAACAAAAACTACACTTCAGCTCTGCACCGAAGCGAAGCGAGGGCGGGCCGCTAGTTGGTAATAAAATATAAAAATTTCTAAGAGATTGGCCAATATATAAAGTTCTAGTTTACGAGTCATATTTAATAGACGCTTCAAATTAATTTTTTAAATATTTTCTGGTGACACAATATTTTGTAAAATACAAGGTAATTTGCTATAGTTTATTGTCTCATACTTCTTCAGTTTTGTCATCGAATGTCTATGCGTGGCCGTCAGTGTGTGCCTGTCAAACGGACTTGTTATAAAAATCATAATATTAAATCTTTGTTTATTTTAATTAAAACATATACAATAACAATGAACCTAAAACTGAAAACCTTAAAAAATAAAACATTATAACTAAAATACATCATTAAAAGGAGTCCCTTTAGGCAAGGTTCCGAAGATACTGGCAGCGTTCCCCCTTTGGATAGCTAGACTAATTCTTTGTCCGAGGTAGCTGCCAGCTCTTCGGTCTCCTGTGATGTCGTCTAATCTTTTTGCTATTTCTTTAAAAAGCCTTATAGCCTTATATTCTTTGTTGGTTGTATATGGGACGATGGGTCTCAAAGTGTCTAGCCCTACACAACAGAATACAAATATTATAAGGCTAGCTTCAAGTTAACAGCCATAGTAAACCTAATACTTACATCAACGACCTAGTGAACTTAAAACACCCAAATAACTTGCATTCAAGTGACTGAATAGAGTCAACAACGAACGGCATTAGGTACTCGGACAATCCGGCGTTCCGACATGTCCCGACCTGTCCTAAGCCGCCATTAATCATGTTCACCAGCGGATGAAAGTTGTCCCCATACTCGGGAAGTGATTTATGCAGCAGCTGTTTATATAACACTGTACATTTTAAACGAGGTTGCTGTATATCTTTTCGTGGGGGCTTTAGGTTATGCACCTATTTTTCATATAAGCTTGTGTGGTTAAATCTTATAATGTATAAGCATACATTAATACATGTCATGCCATTTCTCCCCTGTTGGGGTGACAGAGTATCAAAAGTGCAGTTTGTGACTAAAGCAGAAGAAGAAGCACATCGGTTTCATACATTTACTATGGTTAGAGACATATTTACGTATCGTGTCGTGTCGACGCTTTAACCTCTCTATCTCTCTCTAACCCATAATGAATGTATGAAACCGATGCGCCACGTCACGTTAATATGTTTCTGGCTTAAGAGTGTAAAAATATCACTACTTAAGAGCATAGCTACAACTTAATGGCGACACATTCGGCTGTATTTGACTTTTGCGATGTTGTACGGGAAACAATAGTGACAGATTAGTTTCCAGTCCATCGCTTAGAATATCCGAATATAGCTGAACAGAAGAGTGTGCTCCTATGTGAAGCTAATCTTCTTCTTACAAAAGGCCGTGGTATAATAATACCAGCATTGGTAATGATAATTGAAAATAGAAAGAAAAGAGGCGTTAAACACTGCATTGGAAAAATAGGTAACAAAAATATTTTTTTTATATTTTCATAAGTTTAGTATGGTGAAAGAAATAGTGGCATTTTTCTACTTAATAAAATTTTAAAGCAGTTATAGAAAATAATGCCGGAAAATCACGGAGTTACTCCGTGATCATGGCAGTGCATTGCCAAGGTACATGGTAAGAATCCCGTTAATAGCTATAATGCTAGTGACCATGAAAGTTTAAATAATATAAGAAACAATATAAGGTAAGAGATTCACTAAAACAAGGTAAAGGTGTCATATCAGGCGGTAGTATTTAAATTCCTAGGCCACTTTTACAAAAAACAATTACTTAAAATAAAAATGAATAAAGAAACACTGTAATGACAAAACCCTCTAAAATAATATAATGTATTGTCAATTAGGGTATAACATCTGTCTTTTTCGAGCCACACGGCGAACATTCTGTTACTATGGAATAAAAATCTAATTGAATAAACGAAAGCCATTGAATGCGTAGTAACGAAGGTGAACGAGACGAACCGATTCTAAGCGATTGTCGCTTGCTTCGATAGAACTTTATGGATGTGACTTCAATAAAAATACGTTTTATCGTTAAAGCAACAAGTTGACAATTCAGATTTAAATTCTTTGAGTTTGTTTTGTTCTTATTAAAAGAAAATACAACTTAGTAGGTATTTTTATTAATTTACTTTTGTGCAATATGAGTCATACATTTATAAACCTCTACTTAAAACCTTAGTTTAACCTGTTTAGTAAAATTATTATATTCATCTTCACTAACAAAAGCATAAGGACATAGGTTTTTTTTAAATTATATTTACTATTTTTTATGAAGATTTATGATTTTATGACTGCCCCAAAAATTTGAATGATCAGCGGCGGCAGGGTGTGGTGAAAAATGGGAGATACCTCCCAATAAATAATAATAATTTTTAAATTTCTTTTTAATGATTGTCAGTTAGTTTCTTTAATTTTCTTTTATTCTGCACCGCGCAAAACCAACACGGATTTATGTTAGCATGTGCTGACATTAATTCATTTAATTTATTGAAAGCATTATAAAATAACTCAATTTCACATAGGTAAACTATGAAAATAATTTTACTGCGAGCAGATGCATTGCTTTAATTTTTTATTTCAAACTTATCCGCGTTATTACTCACTTCACCTATCTTTTCTTATCCGTTGACAATGTAAACTAAATTATCCTTTAGTGGTACAAGTGTATGTTCAGGACCTCCCCTTATCCGTCGCTTTCTTGTGCACTGCGACACATCTCAAATACGATCAATTTTAAAGTTTTTTTTTAAGTGACTAGTTCTTTTATAAGCTCCGCTATGTAATCTTGTGACTCTTATTTTGATGATACGTTTATCTTTGCTTTTATTGTTGTTGGTTGTATTTTTATTACGGGTTATGAATTTTAAACAACAACAACAATTTACAATAACTAAATATTTAACGCTACTGAGCGTTCTGGAATCTATATATATAAAACTCAAAGGTGACTGACTGACTGACATAGTGAGGGCTGAAATTTGGTATGCAGGTAGATGTTATGACGTAGGCGTTCGCTAAGAAAGGATTTTGATCAATTCTACCCCGAAGCGAAGCGAGGGCGGGCCACTAGTTCTTCTATATACAACTTCAGAATTGAATTCGGACTTAATATAAAACTTATTGTTACTAAAACATTAAAAAAATATTGTAGAAGGAAACTATAGATATTTCGGAAATATGAAACAGTATTGTTGGACCATAAATATGTTTTTATTAAAATAATTCACCAAAGTATATCCGATGTGGACAGAAGACCTAGAAAGTCAAATGATATGTAAATAATCTGCAAGTACAATCACAAGGTGATAGACAACATCAATGTTTGAAGATACCAAAGACAATAAACATCTCAGATGAACATTTTAATTTCATATCTACCGCGTCAGCTTCACTGTTGCTATTACAATGTGCCTTGATCATTTTAAAATACAACATTGACGAAATTTTCTGCAAGGTCTCCCTAATCAAGAGATTAGATCAAAATTTTATTAGTGGGGTTAGCGATGACTTTGATAAGGCTTAGTATTGTCTACGTGTCAACAAATACATATTACATTAATAATATTAAATTGATCCCAGATGAACAGCTAAAACTGTTTCTTTGTTTGTTTAAATTACACACATTTCAATACAAATTAATATATTTATGTTTTTATTTATTTTTAAGCATTTAACTGCTAGATGTTTAAATCTAAAGAAAAGTTTACTAGAAAAAAACATTGTGGGTATACCTACAATGCGAAGAGATGGCGCTGCCTTGCAGCTTAAGGCTAGGAAAATTTCGACGCGGCCAATAGGGCCGTGGTAGCATAATGGTCAGTGCATTCGCCCGGATTGCGAAGGGTGCGGGTTCGAGTCCCGTCCGCTGCCTGGTCCGCGTCGATTTTTTTTTAGTAAACTTTTCTTAAGTTGTTATATTTCTAAAATACTGAGATATCCTTAAGTTTCGTAGGCGTTAATTAAGTTAATTCTTATACTTACTTCATATGTTAAAATGGACACGTTACGGCTTTTTAAACAAATACCTTTTAGTTGATGAAACTTGGAGTGAATGCTAATGATATTAAAAAAAAAATACCACGTCAATTTATTTTTAAAACAAGTTAGAATTTTTAGTTTCACTTTAATGTCCTATGTTTTTTAGATTAAAAATAAGTCTCTTTGAAACAAAAAAAAAATTAGCTTTCGCGATCCGGCGAACAGGCTGCGTGGCAACAATACATCTGCACATTTTATGACGACCTCCGTGGCCGAGTGGTTTGTATGCCGGGTTTCATGGTGTCGCCGACTCGTCTCGTCGGGTTCGAATCCCGGTGGGGGCAGATGTTTGTGTGATGAATACGAGCATTTGTACTCCAGTCATGGATGTTTACTATGTATTTCTATATAAATATACTTATATATGTACAGTATATGTATTCTATCCGTTACCCTAGTATCCCATAACACAAGCCTACAGTGCTTACTTTGGGGCTAGGCTAATTGGTGTGAGTGTTGGAATTATTATTATTATTATGTAAAAAAAACACAAATGTACCATAATTGTTCATATTC